TTCAGGCCTGAGTAGAGGGTGAAGATGGAAGTGAAAATAAGGCTGAGTAAGGAGAGCAGTGGTGTACCTCACTGGCTGATGTTTCCTGTTATTTCTGTGAGGTGACCAGGAATCAGGGACATCCCTCCTGTGAATCGCCATTGATCTTTCTGAAGTGTGGGACCATTCATCTATTGTTCACCCTAGACTATGGGTATTGTTGTTGTTGTTTGTCCTTTGTTGTCAACTGGACCATGATATCAGGAAGGTAATGCCGTGGCTGGCAAGTGAATTGGATTTAAATAATGGAGGGCTGTGAAAAGTCACCAGCCTCACTCTAGTGGCAAGACAAAGATCAGGATGACTGGAGTTGGCCCTGGATGTAGTGGGAGACCTTGACCTTTTTAAGCTAAGATCTTTCCAGGTCTCAGTTTGACTGAGGCAATACCTATTCAGTGATTAAGGTTAGGTAAGAAGTGAGGCAGAGAATGGCCACTTTTACCTAGTCAAAAAAAAAAAAAAATCAATCTGGGAGGGGAAGACCCACAGGGTTTCAGGCCAAAACAGAAACAATTGCTATTTATATTCACTTTGAGCCATCAGGCCCAAACAATGACCAAATGAGGCTTGACCTAAGACCTATTGTTGGCCAATCAATGAAAACTGAGTGATTTGGGTTTAAAGCGTGGTCCTTAAGAAAGAAATCTAGTCCTAAAGTCCAACATATCTTGTGAGGTTTTATAGATAAAAATTTATATTCCTTTGGGCAGAGCACACTTAGCTAAGGGATGATTCCCTATGTGAACAGAGGGAGAGGAAGGAGGGAGAGGAGGAAGAGAAAGAAGGGAGGAATGAATGAATGAATGAAGAAAGGAAGGAAGGAAGGAAGGAAGGAAGGAGGGAGCTGTGTTGCCCAACTGAAACTGGCCAGCTGGGTCCCCAGTGGGGCAGCTACTACTACTTTCCCTCCTTCCACTATGGGTATAACCAAGGGCACAAAGATCCTTTCTTCTTCATGTTGCTTGCCACTGAAGGAGGGATGAAAGAAGGGAATAGAGGGCTCAGTAGGTTAAACGGCGAGACAATAATGCTACCAGGGCAGTTGAGAAATAGCATGGAGTGGTGGAAAAGCCATCGGACCAGATGGTTTTAGTCTTGCCTCTGTGACTGTGTAACCTTGGGGAAATGACTTACCTATGTTAATTTTAATTTCTTCATAAATCACATGGAGGTAATAGCTCCTACCCTGCCCATCTCATAGGAGTGTTTTAAGTATAAAACTGAGTTGCCGCAGTTGCTGGTGCCCTCTCTCCTTGACCTTACTTTGTATGTACTCGGTATATATGTTTCCGGAAACTTAAATTTTGTATTATGCTTATTTTTATTATGTTCACGTGGAAACTTAGATGTTGTCCTCTCCTCACCCCCATGTAGAACGTAGGCTCCTTGAGGGGTCTCTTATTTTTGTTTTTGCACCCCCACCCCCAGTGCCTAGCATCAAAGTTGACACATAGTAGCTACTTAATAAGTACTTCCTGAATAAGTGAATGAATGTCACATGTATGTGCACAATGCATGTATGAGACTTGCTTGTGAAATGTCTTCATTTCAGAATGACAAGTCATTCCAAAACCATTTGTTGGTTTGCCAACAAAACACACATTAAACATGCCACAGTTTAGAATTTGGGCACATGACGGCTGAATTACCTAAAACCTATAGCTTCATGGTAATGCCTGAATAAGGAATGCCTTATCATACTTTTCATAAAAGGACATGGCATTACTTGTTTGGGATATTTCCTTCCCAAGGTTCCATCAGGAAAGTTGGGTGGGGAGTAAATAATTGTGAATTCTTTTTATCAGACAGAGAAAAAAGTAACTCTTGCTCACTACTACTCAGTATAGTGTAATTTAATAAATAAATGCTCTGGAAGAGATTTCAAACAGGAAACTCAGTTTATAGCACATGGAACCTCAACACAGTTTCTGTTATCATTAAACTGAACACACTGCTAACTTTATTTTAATAATTCATGCATTGTTTCATAAACAAAAGCAAACAAGCATTCATCTGAGAGATCACTTTTAGGGGAAGAAATAATAATTTATAATTTTATTTATTATTTCTTTGGTGGAAAGCAGTCTCTTGGCTGAACACACTTTTTTATTTATGAAATGGGACATGCATTATTAAAATAAACCCATGACTGTGTTCAGCTTAATGATATGCAAAATTATTTCAGGTTAGGTACAGAGTGGTTTCATTTCTCTACCTGCTGTAATGGTTGGTAGGTTTTCTCACCCAGTTGCAGATTTATGGGAACATTTAAGGGACACGTACTTAATTCTGGAACAAAAATGCAGCCACATTTGAAAAATAAAGGAAAGATTTCTTGTAATAGTTTCACCTTTGAGCAGTCCTTGAAAAACCAAGAATGTGGGACTGTCCTCTGTGGTAGTCAGTGGCAGAAATTCAGAAACAAAAGCTGGGATCCCCCCCTCCCCCTTGCCCCATACAA